GGTTCAAACCCAGTCCTGCCAAAACTGAAAAGAAGAATGAAGAAGAAGAAGAAGAAGAAGAAGAAGAAGAAGAAGAAGAAGAAGAAGAAGAAGAAGAAGCAGCTTTCCTTGGTTTTCTTCTATGACTTTTATGGTTTTTTCTTCTCTGAGTTTCATGGTTTCAGGTCTTCAGTTTATGTCTTTTGAGTGATTTTTACATATGGTATAAAGTAAAGGCCTATCTTCACTCTTTAGTATTGACTATCCAGTTTTCCCAACACTATTTGTTGAAGAGACTATCCTTTCTCCATTGTGTAATCTTAGAACTCTTGTCAAAAATCATTTGACCACATCCACAAGCATTTACTTCTGTGCTTTCTATTTTGTTCCTTATTCTAGACCAGTACTGTACTGTTTTGATTATTATAGCTCTTGGAATTGTTTTCTTAACATCATTTTTGGCTTGTTCACTGAAAATATATTGAGTGTAGCTGATGTATCCTGAAACTTGGCTGAATTTGTTTCTGCAGCTGAAATATTTAGGGTTTTATACATATAAGATCATATCATCTTTGAGCAGAGAAAATTTATTTCCAACTTGTGTGACTTCAACTCTATTTTTTTCTCTTGCCTAATTGCTATAGCTAGAACTTCTCTTACTTTATCAAATAGAAGTGGCAAAGGTGGGCAACCTTGATCCTTTTCTAGTTCCTGGTCTTACAGGAAAAGTTCTAAGTCTTTCCCCACTGAGCACATGTTAGCTGTGTTCTTTTTCTATATGGACTTTGTCTGGAAGAAGTTCCACTCTATTCCTAGTTTAGTGGATTTTTTTAAATCATGAAAAAATGTTTTATTTTGTCAAATGCTTTGTCTTCATCAATTAATTTAATCATGGATTATCTTCTCCTTTCTGCTGATGTGGTATCTTATATCAATTGTTTTTTGTATGCTAAACCATTCTTGCAATCTAGAATAAATCCCATTTGGTCATTTGTATAATTTTTTTTTGAGACAGAGTCTCACTCTACCCTGGGTAGAGTGTTGTGGTGTCACACCTCACAGCAACCTCTTGGGCTTAAGCAATTCTCTCGCCTCAGCCTCCCAAGTAGCTGGGACTACAGGCACCTGCCACAACACATGGTTATTTTTTTGTTGCAATTGTCATTGTTGTTTAGCTGGCCCAGGCTGGGTTTGAATTCATCACCTTTGGTGCATGTGGCTAGTGCTGTAACCACTGTGCTATAGACACCAACCCCATGTTGTATAATTCTTTTAATATGCTATTTTATTGAGGATATTACATTAATATTTATAAGGGATATTGGTCTGCACTTTTCTTTTCTTGTAGCATCTGTCAGCTATGGTATCACTGAATGAGTCAGAAAGTATTTCGTCCTCCTTAACTTTTGGGAAGAGTTTGAAAAGTATTTGTATTAGTTCTTTTTAAAATATTTGATGTAATTCTCTTTGGGAAGTTTTTGATTACTGATTCAAGCTTCTTACTGGTTATGGGTCTATACAGATTTTCTATTTCTTCATGAGTCAGTTTTAGTAAATTGTGTGTTA